TCTTCCGCTACGGGGCTTTAATTGATGACCGGCGGGAAGCGGCGCTGAGCCGGCCGGGGGGGGGCCGGCGCCGGCGGCGCGGGGCTTCGGAGCACGGACCGGGCCGCGCGCTGGCCGCGGGAGTAGCGAGCCAGCTTCAAACTATTACAGCCGGCTCCCACAGCCAATTAGGGCCGGCAGGCGGCCATGGCGGCTCGGCGCGCGCTCGGTCCGGCGGCGCGGCGGCTCGGCGGCGCACGGCGCGCGGCGAACCCGGCGGTCGGGCGGGCTCGTGCGGAAGCCCGCGCTCGCGTACGCACTCCCTGGAGGCACACGCTTGTGTTTGACTCGAGCTAATCGTGAATTGGCTCACGAGGCCGTCGTTTTGGGGTGAGCCCTGAACCGAGTCGCCTCGTTAGAAAAAACCGCTTTGAGTTATGAGCCGAATCCCATTGTTCGTAAATTTCATGACATGAATCGTGAGCTGTCCATTTTAACAGTGTCGTGTCAGTGAGCCATATGGCTCAACGTAAAATGGCAACATGAGCAGACACAGCACGCTTAAGTCAAATTAACAGGCCATTACGGAGTGTGTGAAATGAACAGCATTCAGCCTTGATTAAAAAGCTTTTTGTGAAGTCAGCACAAAGTTTGCTACTGTAATTTCTCAGCAGGAAGCACAAAATTGTTGATCCCGATCTTAATTTTGCCAAATCATGTCATCACCGACAGCATGATTAGTGCTGGCCAGTGGTTTCGTTCTTTTCTTTACTTCGTTTAGAGCGCTTTCAACCACTTCACTTGATCGCTTCAGGACCATGAGACGAAGAAGACTGGATAACGATGGGGCAGGACTGCATGCACCTGAAGACAAACCGCCAAGCATCACCCGCGTGAGAAACCCCCCCCCCCCCCCCCGCTGCAGGGTATGCACTGGGCGCCCATACGGAGTCCCCCTCCGGAGGGCGGTCCCTCGGCCCACTCGTGGCTAGCGCACGCAGACTGCTCCGGACAAGCAGGGCGTCGTGAGGACGCGGGATCAAGCAAAACATGGGATAGGAGGGTCGGATGGCTGGTAGAAATGTGTTGACCTACGCGTGATTGCACTAGGATGGCACTTGGCAGGTGCAGACTGCCATCTGTCATGTTTAGTGCAGTCATTACATGCTATATAACTTAAGGGTCTAGGTCGTGGGTGTCTGGTAGAATGTGCTGCCCTGGAAGTAAGACTTGGGAGACCTGAGTGGTAACAGGTTACACGTACGGTATTGTTTGCTGAAAGGCATTTGCTTGGTTTAAACTACAAGCTTGCTGCTGCGATATTTGTGCCTATTTTCGGTACTATGGTATATATATATATATTTATATATACACATATATGTGCATATATACATATATAATATCTATATATATATATATTATATATACATATACATATTTGTGCATAGATATGTGTACATATATATGTATATACACATATATTTATATATACACATATATGTGCATATATACATATGTGTACATATATATGTATATATATATATATATATATATATATATATATATATATATATATATATAACGAGTCATAACGCAACGAGCCAGAACCGAATGGGATATTTTATTCTGCAAGCCGCGTGAGTCATGAGCCGAATGGGTCCGCGCAAGCGGCGGGTCTCAACTGAGCGGAATAAAAAAAAAATGAAACGGCTGTGAGTTATGAGCTTAATCAAATCCCAAAATCTGTGAGCCGATCATGAGCCGCCTCGACAAATTTGAGTCGAACATAAGGCTGCCTGCATGCCCAGTGTGAGCCGCTCCACCCACCACAGAAGCGTAACATTTACACAACGAAGACGCAGCTGCTGTCGGTTTCTGGCGTGATCGTGGGTTGGGTTTCAATGGCGAATCGGACTAACTTTTGGCGACACTGTTGGTGTCTTTGCCTGATGTTATTTTCGCTCAGCAAAATTACCCCCATATGTGATCAAATTGTGGGCTCGTAACCTCCAAAAAATGCTGACGGATATAATAATATGAAGAATGGCAGCATGCTGCGCATCCGCCAGCGACGATGGCTGATACCTTGACCTCCACCCTGTTGGTCTCTAGAGATCGCTCTGCCCCGTCGTTGGGCCTGGTCAGAGTCTTTTGTCGACTCTGATATACGAGTCGACATATATCAGACTGCCCTCCCCCACGTCCTCGAGCTAGGTCAAGGTACCTGGCTCGTGACCGTGACCTGGCTGTGCCCAGCCAGGTCACGGTCTCGTGTGCTCGCATGGTCAGCAGGGCCAGGTGGTCAGTGTCCCCTCCGCCCTCTGCCTGAGCTCGCCGCTGCTCTGTAATTGGCCGCCAGCAATCCATATCGGGTGACCGGCAGAATTTCCGCCGACAAATAACGCCAGATTGTTTTGCGCTGTCGGTCGCAAAATAGAATCCAGCCATCGTCCGGGTGCGCAAACAGCTATCGAATGTCGAGCTCTGATTGGTCGATCTGGGCAGGCGATCGCTTATTGTTTGTCTGGGGCTTAGGGCTTTGTTTAGTCGGGCATGTTTGCCGCCTGACCGCCTTTGGCAGGCATTGGAAAGTTGTGGGGTAATTCAGTGATCACACAGTAGAAGGAGGTGTTTTTTACCGGAGGAACTTAAACCCGGCCGCGTTGCGAAAGAATCGCCTCTACGCCTACACTTACACCCTCCGCACCTGCAGCGGCACCCTGACTGCTTTGAATGTGCATGAAATAGTGCACGGTCAATTTCAGGCATTCGTTTACTTAACATTGACACAGTGGACAGTTATATCCATGGTTCAAACAAGCTCGATGTTTTGGAAGGTTCGCCGCTACTAAAATTGGGTGAAGCGAAGGGAATTAACACCACCAAACGTTGCAAGCACTAGGAATACTAAATTGTAACCATTAGAAAGTGCATTTCGTCTCCCTCCTCCAGATGAAAACATGTAGCAAAGAACATGTTATCGTGAGCATCTTTCCCCAGTTCACAGGACCGTTATATCATGAATGCGTGGTGGTCATGTGACCGTATGACACAGGTCTGTGCGCACGCGGTGATAGCAGCGATCCTCCATACCGTCACTGTGTTTAATGTCATGCAGGTCGGGTGCAGCTCAACCCACGCTTTGTGACTACTACAATGGTTGACCTTGGAGCCAATCTATTAAAAGAAAATGCCTGAAGGCCGGATCATTTCCGATCCTGAATACCATGAAATACGCGGCAAAGTCGTGGAAATGTCCAGTTTGCAAGGTGCGATACGGCAGCTAATCGTGGTCGCTTTACCGCGCGGGGACGGCCCTATTGAAGGGTGGTGCCACCGGCTGTGACTAATGGAAACTCGCGACAAATATTGAGAGAGATAGGAGCGGCTTGAATCTTCCTCATGCTAGAAATAGTATTAAACTCAAGCGCTATTGGTCGGGTACTTTCTCCCCCCCCACTCCCCCCCCTTCCCCCCCCCTCCCCTTCCCCGGTTCGACGCCCACCGCCCCGGCTTCACTGAACCTGCCTCTTGTGAGCATACCCCCCCCCCCCTCCCTCCAGCCCCGCCCCGAGCCGTTTCCCGTCTCACGAGCCCCACTGCCGGTGCGATAATGACGTCACAGCCCCCTCATCACTCCGTCACTGGAGGTGTAAATTTATTAATTACAAGTCAGTAATAGTGACATAATTGGCGGGGTAACACAGGAAAAGCCTCGACACCTGGCTATTACCAATCAGCTGGGCGACGGGCCTCGCCCCAACTGCAGATTAGGTTTTTGTCCTTTTTGAAGCGGCCTCCACTCCGCTAAATGGCGATGACAGTGGCCATGGTCGGACGCCGAGTCCCCTCTGAAGGACACGAAACGGGCCACCGATAGCATGAGGCGTGAATGTGCCCGCTGCGCAGTGCTTGGTTATTGTGTGGCGCTTGATGCACAGGCGGTGGAGCTGTGTTGCAGTTCAGGCTTCCAGATCTTGAAGACATGCTCTGTGTGGCAACGCGCTCTGATTTCTGGAAGGGTTGGAGCTTAACCCTCGCACTGATAGGGGATCGATGCGACGCACAACCCTGCTAAATATTTTCGATAGAGGGGACCGATGCGACGCACATCCCTGCTAAATATTTTCCAAGGATGTCCTTCTTAAATGTTGTGTGATGGCTCCCAAGTTTTCGGTACTCTAAAGCGGATTCATTGCGCGTGTTTTGACGCAAAAAAACGTGTCTCCAGCATCTCCGGTTTCTGAGAAGCTGTTGTGTCTTAGGAACACTGTACGGTGATCCACGCGCGGCGCGGGGGCGGGGGAAACCGACGATTCCGCGGACCACGAGCAGCGGGCCGGGAGTGCTTCATTAACAGAGCTCTACATCATAAATATATGCTCAAAATGCAAACAAAATAACTTACAGATGTGCTTTGAAGTAAATAACGAAAACGTCTGTGTGAGTTTCATGTTGCTGCATGACATGATTTCGAAAGTATTAGGATGTAAGGTTGAAATAGTTCGATTTTCGGGAAAAGTTTACATTTTACCTGGCTAATGAAATCAATTACTGCTCTAGTAACATCAGACTTTTTACAAATCGCGAGCTGTAATTAATATCAATTCACTGCTTCTTCCACGAGGCTCTTTCTGTCTTAGCTTGGAAACGCCAGGGAAAAGGTCGTTTTAGCCTCCTACTTCCCTATCAATTTGTCTATGAAAAACGATGAATCAAGGCGAGGATTAAGTGCTCGGAAGGACGCATTAATTTGCTCAATTGAATTTTAACCAGCAAAAGGTGGCCAAGTCTACTCAACTGTCTGACCAAAGCCCGCGTGTTCTTGCCAGGTCGAATGCAGCAGATTGGTGGGTTACAAAGCCGCGTGTCTTATCTGCACACTGTCGAGTCCTCCAATACGCATTGGACATCCCCTCTTGCCCTAACCGCCCTCATTGCAACCTCTCCGCTTCTCCAGCCTTTGCTGGGTTTGCCTGCCCCCACTGCCTCCACAATACCACCGGAACGGCTCCGCAGACCCCCTCCAAGCCGTCCACCGCGTAGTCCACCGTGCCATCCACCGTGCCGTCCACCGTGCCGTCCGCCGCGCCGTCCACCGTGCCGTCCACCGTGCCGTCCACTGAGCCGTCCACCGTGCCGTCCACCGAGTCGTCCACCGTGCCGTCCACCATGGACGGGCTGCAGCGGGCGGGGCGACACGGCGGCGCCGGCGCAGCTGAGTGTAGCGGCCAGCGCCCGCGGTCTCCTCCCGTCCTGGGCCCGCCAGCAGCCGCACGCACAGGGAAGGCCCGAGGCTCCGCAGTCGATGATGGGTCGGAGCAGGGCGGGCAGGCTGAGGCCTCCACAGCCGGTGATGGGTCGGAGCGGGGCCGGCACGCTGAGGTCTCCACAGCCGATGATGGGTCGGAGCAGGGCGGGCCGGCTGAGGCTCCCGCAGCCGATGGTAGGTCGGAGCAAGGAGGCAGGCTGAGGCCCGCAGGCCGATGGTGGGTCGGAGCAGGGAGGGCAGGCTGAGGCCCCGCAGCCGGTGATGAGGTCGGAGCAGGGGGGCAGGCTGCGGCCCCGCAACCGATGGTTGGGTCGGAAGCAGGGAGGGCAGGCTGAGGCCCCGCAGCCGGTGATGGGTCGGAGCAGGGGGGACAGGCTGAGGCTCCGCAGCCGATGGTGGGTCGGGACAGGGCGGGCAGGTTCTGAGGTTTTCCCAGCTGGTGGTGGGTCGGAACAGGGGGCAGGCTGAGGCCCCGCAGCCGATGGTGGGTCGGAGCGGGGAGGGCAGGCTGAGGCCCCGCAGCCGGTGATGAGTCGGCGCAGGGGGGCAGGCTGAGACTCCGCAGCCGATGATGGGCCGGAGCAGGGCGAGCAGGCTGAGGCTCCGCAGCCGATGGTGGGTCGGGACAGGGCGGGCAGGTTCTGAGGTTTCCCAGCGGTGGTGGGTCGGAACAGGGCGAGAAGGCTCTGAGCCCACATGCGGGTCAGTTGGTGGTGAGAAAGCCACCGATGAACTCAAGCAAGGCGGGACATGAGGCAGAGCATGGGAGGAGGGCGGGCCCTTAACCTGAGGGACGCTTATGAGGCTTATAGTGGCGCATGGAAAGAAACGGAACAACATCGCGCTGTTCACCACCGGGCTGGTTTTCGCAGCAAAAGAGCCGAAGGGCTCACCACGGCAATCTCGATCGTGCTGAACTGGGGAAAATATCTCCAGCATCATCATCATCAGCAGCAGCAGCAGTAGCATCAGCAGCAGCACCACTGGGCGGCCGGCAGTGGATTCCTTTCGCTTAGTTGGTGCCCTCCGGGCCAGATCATGGCCAACTCATACCGCGCTGGCTCATCAATGCTCTCCGCGCATGCCTGGTAAGGCGGCGGCTCGGTAGGTGTGGGCCTCGATTATGCATTCAGCTGCATGCTGCAATGTCGTTGATTCTGTGATATACTTGCCACATGTTTAATTTATTTGTTAGCATCGTAAGGAGGCTTCAGGCAGGGTTAAAATGCTTCCAGCTCTAGAACCGTGCCTGAGCTTGCCTGAGTTTGCGCTGTTACGTGTCGTCTCTTTACCAGTGGTTTCGAAGAACCAAATTATTTTCAGGATCATCCTAATTGGAGAACGGCATGGAGCCGTTTGATAAGCGTGACGTCTTACCAGATCTCGCCAACACAATGTTAACAAAATTGTGAGCAGCGCGCTGTTCTGCAGACTGCATCTGCTGTTTTGCTGTTATCGCTGCACCGTGGCAGGCGGGACGCGTCTCCATCCTCCCAAGCCCCACTGCACGAACACCACCACCCCCTCCCTCGCCCCTCTTCCCCACCTCTCCTGCGTCCCCCGTCGCGTGCGCGCCAAAACTCGCCTCCCGCCGAGCGACACGGGCGGGAGATAGCCGACTCTGGCGCGCAGACGGCCACATCACAGGCCGCCGCCTGACAACTCTATCAGCGCGAGCGGCGCGGGTAATAAGCAGCCGCGTGGAAGGTGACGCTCCCCGGCCAGCGGTGTCTTTCATTGAACCCAACACCTAATCACCCCCATTGTTGTTCCATTGAACCCCTTAATTTAATTGATGCATGGCTGGCTGACCGCCGGTATGCCGGATTCAATCATTACCATTTTCCAAGCGCGCCGGGTTTCTCCCGAAGCGAAGGTCCCCGCGCGCCGGCTAATTGGAATTTTAATAAAAAGCGGCTGCGGCTCTCGAGTTTCGTCGCTTTTTACCGGCGCCGGCGCATAATTTCACACCTGTGGCCAGCCATTGAGACGTAAGGAATAAATCAGCGGATGAATAATGTCGGAGCGCGCTTGCGGCCGGGCGCGCGGGACGGCCGACCCGCTGGGGGCGCCGCGCGGTACCGGCCGCGCCGCACCGATGGCACGCGCCGACCCGGCCGCGCCCCTGCGGCAACGGCGCCCGCTGCCCGCCGCGCGCCGGGCAGGAGCTGGGTGGAGCGCGGCTCCCGACAGATGGCGTTGTTGCGTGGGTGTGGCGCGTTCCGTCGCGCGCTCACCTGCTGCGGTTGTTTCGCTAGAGAGTGGCGCGGCGTGTGCACGCGGAGTGGCTGGAATGGCTATTTTTAGGGCAGGCTTGTCTGATGTAGCTACCAGCCATGCACGTTCACAAAATCCAAGCTTGGGGACGACTGTTCATGTTCCGTAACTATGCGATTAGATCAAGACATTGTAGCAGTACGGGAGAGTGTGAGGGCTCAGCCAAGTACGCAGAGGCAAAAGAATGTCAGGAGAGGATTTTCAAGTAATTTTCTCCAATGTCATCCTCTTGAGCCGTCAAGCGCATCCTCAAGTTCGTCCTCGAGAGTCATCCTTTTGAGAATAAGCGCAGATTGAAATATAGAATACCGCCAATCTAATTGTTGTTTAGCACTTAAACGTCGTTAAACCAGAGTTGTCTGGTACTTTGAAGGTCGTTAACGTCGCACAAGAGCTCCGTACTAATATTCAAACGTAATGTCATGGTTTTTATTTTTCCCCTACGACGCTCAGCACTGTGGCCCTTTTCGAAGCGCACGTGGGCTTCGGAAAGCATTGCTTACTATATGTCGAGCCCAGAAGTCGCACCTCTTGTCCGCAACAGCTGACAACGGCCCGCAGCAGATTCTGCCGCCTTCGACTGTTGTTGCAAATCAAATCCCAATCTGAAGAAAAATTGAGTCGGAATCTAACTAAATGAAAATGCACACATATCATTTTTCCACACAAGAAAAGAGATGCTAATCAGTGCAAATAACATTTTCTTCAATCACAGAGATATTTCAGCATAGAACCAATTTAACGATACGATTAAAGGGGATTTAGCGATATGATTAAAGGAAATATTTCACATTTGAAGATATTGAAGCAATGCATCAGATGTGATGCAACAGACACACTTATGACTTTTGGTATACTTTTAAGCGGAAAAACTGCTTTAGACAGCACCATTCTCTGTTTGGTAAGGATGCTCCTCAATGCTTGGTTTGCTTACGTTATCGTACCTTGCGCAACATTGATTGAGGGCCAATTGACGGACGTTGTATCTGGAGAATGCTGCGACCATTATATTTTTATTGGCCTTGATCACCGCATAGTTTATGGAATGGCAGGATTTGAATGATGTTATTTTGATATAATAAATGCCAAGGTGACTTTCAAATACTATCCCCGATATACCTTTCCCATTTTTGCGGGCGTGTAGCTCAGAAACTAGAGTGGTCTAGGTCTTAAGAAGGTCAAGATTGTGAACAGCACCGATATGTCTTCAAGGTGACTATTTCAGTTCAAAACCCCATACAAATTTGAAACAAGCCCTCTAAAAATAGAGTAAAAGCACAAGATGTGACAAAATGAGAGCCTGTAGCAAGCTATTTGTACTCAATGAAGCTTGGTTGAAGCTGGCAATTGAATGACAGAGTCGTACGTGGTAACCTGTACAATGTGCCTAGTTAAAGTCCTGCACGTAAGATGCATCCCCCCCAAAATAAAGATATTTGTGGAAGTGGAACACTAGGAGTGAGAACATCAAATCATGTTAAACAGTGCGGCGCTTTTGGGCTGCGCATCTCCATAATTGTCTCCATATTAACGCCATGTCTATGAATTTGACCGCTCAAAATCATGGGCAAATCGTTTCAAATTAAAATGTATATTACGAAGCTGTTGGAGCATCATCAGCACGGGCTTCAACACGAACCCCCAAAGAAATTAATGTAATGACAGAACAATGCTGGAACACGGAATTGGTGCGAAAAAGTGCTTGAATTTGAGCAAAAGCGAGTTTGGCTGTCCACCCTAGCATTTTTCACAAATTGCTAACCGGGCTTTATGTTTTACAACAGCTTATTCGCGCCTAATTTCAAAATGCAGCACAAAAGTATTTGATTGGTGAACCAAATATACGTGCATATCAAGAGTGAGAGCTTGTCGTGTTATCCGTGTTTGCCGTGTTTGCCGAGTTATCGTGGCTGCATAACCATCACCACAGAAAGCCACTCACCACAAAAATATTGTTTCGTTATCTCCGTGAAGGCTTCCCATCACTCCGTCTCATCACACAACCAGACATATCTACTCCACCGCACCGACTGCAGCACTGGCACCGTTCACCGAACTGGTAGCTGCAGAGTCGCTAACCGCTGCTAAATCTTTTCTGTTGTACACCGAACGTCATGAATAGCAAACCGTTGTGAAGTGCCACTTGAACCATTAGTAACCCCGCCAAGCTGACGTGTCGGCGCAACGGTCTTGGTATTTAATTATGTAAGCAAGGACGCCCTCAGGATGGTGCTCGGTTTTTAAGCGAGTGCTTTTGCAACGATTTTGTTGGTCTGGTTATATGCATGCAATGTAAATGTATGCACATGCGGCCTTTGTCAGAGGATGATCACGGCATGGTGTGGAAGCAAATCCCTGTACTGCGCCATTGTACATTTATGCTGCATGATCAGACTCTTAAGACTGAGGCCACACGATTTCGCTTGCTCTGAACGAATGCACGGAATCGGGAATGGTGGTGGGTAAGTTTAAGCCACTTGTTCTGGACTGACTGATGGAGAGCGTGGTTGTGGCTAGTGCTCTGGTGTCTTTGGTGTCTGAAGAATAAGACAGCTACTTTTAATCTTCGTTTAGAACCATAACTACAAGTGATTATTACGTTTGGAGCATGGATGGCAGGCATAACACAATTGTATATTTTTTGATAATTCTGAGGAACGGAACCTTTTATCAACCTTATTTCTTTCCGATAAAGATTTTGTTCTGGCCATCTTACCAAAGATATGTAACTAGTCGTCTTCGAGAGTATACATGGCAAGGAATATACAAAGCTTCATAATGCATTTGCAATGATCATTTCTGCGAAGTAACAATGCTTACCCGCACTTAATAGCTTCTGCTCAACCGGCTCAACCCCGAACCATGTCCAGAATTAAATAAAATATTCATAGTGACCTCAAGTCGTTTTAAGTCATCTCAT